AGCCATAACCAAGGCCCTTGCCGCAATTTGTGTACGCCTACATGCTGCAACAATGTGTCCATTTGGTACAGCGCCAACAGGAATAGTTGCTGTTGTTGTTGCTGCTGTTGTTCTTTGTGTTTGCAGACGAACTTCTTGTTGCAGCTGCTGCTGCTTGTTCTTGTTGTTTCCATCCTTTCTGCCAGCACCAATCAACCCCATCCTCTCCATGATCTTCGATGTCAATTCTCGTGGTGCTCCTGCAGATTCCTGTAGCGTTCCTTCCCCTCCAGGGGCCTGCTTGGTGTTGTTGTTGCTCATTTCAGAGCCAAAAAACACCCAAAATACAGCAAAAACTGCTTTTTCTTTCAAAATACTCGGTCGATTGCAACGATACTTCCAGATCAAGTGTCCTTTGATGTATTAAGGAGGTTACAGACACTGGTTGTCTGTTTTATTGAGGGGAAGATGGTTTCTTTTTTGTTACACTGGGGAGTTTGTCGGTGCTGTTTTTTGATGGTTTTTTGCTGTACGTTAGGACTCCTGTTTCTTGTAAACCACTCGGTCGATTGCAACGATACTTCACGATCCCCTTCCCCTTGTTATAATGAAGTTATCACAGTGGGTGTGTTGCTGGGAGGTGTTGCTGATGGCTATATCTAGAGGGGGTGACAGGTCCCTATGATGAGGTTGATTTAATGAGTTTTTTTGCATTTTTCGGTGAGGAGAGAAATCAACAAGCCCGAAAAGGTTTTCGAAAAGAAACACCMAGCAATGTGCACATCGTTGTGAAGAGAAAAGAAAACCCTTTCCAGCCCACGGATTCTCTAAATCTGATTGGTCCTTTGCTATCATTAAGAAGCATGCAAAGCTTGCTCCTGGTTACTAAAAATAGCTCGCAAAATTAGGACTCATAACCTATTACACTTTTCGGCAACACATTTGCCTTCCTTCCTCGTACCAATAGACAGCTCAACTACTAGTAGAAGTACTGTACGAAGTAGTTGACTTCGGTTCTGCATGGTTCATGAGTGGTCTGGAGTCTGGAGTAGTACGATACTTGTACGTACGTACGAGCTTACTACTCGAGGATAATTGTTATTCAATCCTGCTATGGTACGGGAAGGTACAGTACAGTACCGTACAGTACGATGAGACGATTCGTTCTGTCCTGTAAGTACATCACGGGAGACCCTATCACGTTCGACCGACCAGCGTTCGTTCTGAGCACTTATGGAGAACGGATGGTCTTTGGTAGTACGTTCGAGGAGCCACGGTTCGGAGATTGGTTCTCCATGCAGTCATTGATTGAGAATGATACAACGTAATGGGACTAGGGTTCTGTGACTGTTGCTGCTCGAGGACCGAACCTATTTGGGTACTATTGTACTACGTATCGAGATAATATATGTTATTGTACTACGTATCGAGATAATATATGTTACTATCGTGATAAATCTTCAGGGAACCATATAATGTTCTCACCACAATCGAACCCAGTAATATAAGTAAAATATTGCGAATTCTCCTAGTACGTGAAGATAGAACCGGGATCCTGAACAATCATTTCAAATCTGTAAACATTCCACCAATCATGTATGCATCGACGGTACCGTAGAAGAGGATTCTGCGGAAAAGAGAATCAAAATTATTTTGTCTATGCAATATATAAAGTATAAATGGCTTATAATAATGAGATCAAATGAGTTTGTCGATTTTATCAGCGGTCATGACTCATAAAACAATAATCGAGTATCTCGATATCTGAAATTCACCCTAAGTACCATCTAGTCCGTTAGAAAGTTCGAAAATATTCTTCAGTCGTATCCCCATCCCGGTTCAGTTTCTATCAGTCAGTAGTATTCTTTTTAGTTTTTATCTCGTAATAATTCTTGCCATGCGACAGTTGAATGGAACTCGCAGGAACTGGAAATGGCCTATGATTCTTTTTCTCGAAGAGACATAATAGAAGATCGGAATAGCGAACTTTGACTGGCACATCCAACGGTCATTCTATGCAACAACCACCGCCTTGCTCCGTGCCACAGAAACAAAGAATCCTATCGAGGGATATATTTTTCATTTCGTTCTTGTCCGTCTATATGCTGGAAACTAATGTGAATGGTTTCCTTCACAAAGTAGAACCGACGTCCATAAATGAAGATCACATGAGAAGCCAACTAACACCCACCTATCCAAGAAAGGGCAGAATGGGCAAAAAAGGGAACCCATGACATTCTGTCCAGTGTTAAAATAAAACTATCAAGCATTATCGCTGAAGACACCTTTATACCCCTGATCTTGCAAACAAACAACCCTTGTGGCATAAATTAAATTCCGAACACGCTGAGAAGCAAGCCCAACATACGGTAAATACCGCGCTACGATTTGATACTTAGTTGCATCCATCGTCATCAAAAATGAACTTCTTTTGTATGCTGCTAATCACTACCGCCTGGACATCTGCTCTTGTCTCCTCCGCTACTCTCCGAGGAGCAGGGACAGGGGCAGAGGCAGGGGCAGGAGATGCAGCTCTAGTGCCGACAAGCCTTCACCACAGGCGCTTAAGGGAAGGAACTACCTGTGGGCTATTCCAAGCCGACATTGAACACGGACCAAATCCGATGTATTCAGAAGAGAAATGGTTGTGTAAACTTCCACAAGAAGAATCCTCGCGTCTCGGGGGACTCGAATACGTCGAAATCTACAACTCTCGCAAGATCATTCACAACGCCACGTCCGGTAGATCGGCGATGACCGTCGGCACGGCTTTCATCGACCCCGGAAACCTCAATATGTACATCCCCGAAGATACACAGGTTGAAATCCACGACCTGGATACATCCCAGTACGAGCGCGAGCAATTTCGAAGGAGCGTCGCGGAGTCTACCGGTGTTCTCACCACTCTGGTGATCCGCGTGATCGATTCCAAGGGAGTCGCTCCGGATGCCAGTATCGAAACGCTAGAAGACGACGTATTCGATAGCGATGTGTGCCTCAAATCGCAGATGGAGGCGTGTTCCTACGGAAAACTCCAGATCGAACCCTTCAAGGGACAGACAGAAACCAAAGTGACTGTCAAGAACGGAGTCGTAGATATCCATATGGACTACGATATGTCCACCGACACCGACGACGATACCAAGCGCCGTGCCGTACAGACAAAATCACTGGAAGCTGCGCTGGAACAGCTCGGAGAATTGGAAGAGGACAAGTACGGTCTTGTAATGTTCTGCATGCCACCGGGAATCAATGATTGGCTTGCTCACGCCTGGACAAACCACAGGTTTTCCTTTTACAACAACAACTGGTGCTCCTCTGTTTCTGCCCAGCTCCACGAGATTGGGCACAACCTTGGCCTCGCTCACAGCGGAGAGAAAAGAATCTACGACGATAAAATCGGCATGATGGGAATGTCTTACGATAACAAGAATGGACCCAGAATGTGCTTCAATTCTGTCAAGAGCTTCCAACTCCGTTGGTACGAAGACAAGGTCCGAACGATTGATCCTCTCTCAAAGCCCTCACAGCGATTCACCATGAACGGTGTTGCCGACTACTTGAAGAATCCCGAAGCACTTATCTCGCTTCGTTTGGAACAAAAGGCCATCGGTCAAGACTATTACATTGGCTTCAATCGAAGAGATGGCATCAACGAGGGGACAATCATGGACTKGGACATGGTTACAATTCACCGCAAGCAAAACGGGCCGTACGAAGTAGGAACTTCCGAAAAGGTTGCCAAATTGGCACTGGGACAAGGCTACACCATCCGGAGTTTCGATGGAGAACGCGACGTCAGAATCGAGTTCATCGGTCGAAACGAAGGAGATGCTACCATCGAAATTATCGACATTGACAACGGCCCCATCAACGAACCAGTTGACCCAGATATACCCTGCGAAGAGCATACCATCCAGTTCAAAACCGATAACTACCCGACGGACAACCTATGGTACATCTCTATGCGCGACGCCATCGGGTCGGCCGTGGAAGTTAGTCCCAAATACGCAGACCCGCTTACGACCTACACACACAAAGTCTGCTTGAAGCACGGTGGCAAGTACAATTTCTACATTCACGACTTGTACGGGGACGGTGTCTGCTGTGGACAAGGCTCGGGATTTTACAAGGTCATCGATTCCAAAGGCAAGGAGTTGATATCTTCCGGAACAGAACAATTCAAAACGAAAATCATTGCCTTCGAGGTCGACGAAGCACCCGGTAGTTTGCCGACCAAAGCACCGGTGCCGACACCAACAAACGAACCCACGCAGGCTCCGGTGCCAGCACCAACAAAAGAACCCACGAAGGCGCCGGTGCCAGCACCAACAAAAGAACCAACGCAGGCTCCGGTGCCAGCACC